AGGTCACCCCTACACAAGATGGTCTTTTTCTTGATCAACACAAGTGAGAAAAATGTGTGAAGAGTGAAATACACTTAGTGTAGAAGTGTATTAGTGAGGATATCATATTCTGGAATGAATCAAGCTTTTCAGTCTCAATCTATTCCTACTCTAAAATCTATTAGGGTGCATTTGTTTTGTTCGTGATATCACTCCTGGAAGGGATAAACTCTCTCCTAAAGCTATTAAGTGTGTCTTCTTGGGGTACTCTCGTCTTCAAAAGGGCTTTAGATATTATTGTCTTACGTCAAAACACATTTATACATCTTTTGAGTCTACTCCATATTTCTCCCTATCTTCTCTCCCTGAGGAATCAAACTTGTCTTCTCTCCCTGAGGAATCAAACTTATTCTCCTTATCAAAGAGCATGAACCCGTTCGGCACGTCTCAAACTTTCAAGAACCTGAACCTACTTCCCTAGGCTATTCCTGAAAAAGGAACTCCATGTGACATTCCATAAAGCCATATTGTAGAGTTCCCTTATACCTATCAACGTCGACATCGTTTGAGTAAGCCTCCCCATCATCCCACAGAACAAGAAGGTGTTAATCCAAGTGATTCATGTATTGTTCCATTGTCACCTCAAAAGTTCGCCCGGGAGATAACAAATGATCTTCCCATTGCCAACAGAATTGGTAAAAGATCCACTTGTAATCCTTATCCAATCTATAATTGTCTCTCATACAATCGTTCGTCACCGTCATATTGTGCTTTTATTACACGACTCTCTTCTATTTTTGTCCCTAAAAGCGTCAAGGAAGCATCGAGTCATCGAGGTTGGAAAATGGACATGGTTGGTGAAATCGAAACTCTTCACTCATCAGGGACTTGGGAGCTTGTGTATCTACCTCCAAATAAACCCGTGGTTGGTTGCATATGGTTATACACAGCCAAGGTTTGTCTTAATGGCATGATAGACAGGCTCAAAGCCAAATTTGTAGCCAAAGGATACACACAAGTGTTTGGGATCGACTATACTGATACATTCTCTCCTATTGCAAATGATCAGTTCACACTTTACTGGTCATTTCCGCAATATGACAATGGTCATTACATCAGTTAGATATAAAAATGCATTCCTGCATGGGGATCTCAAGGAAGAAGTTTATATGGACCAACCTCCGAGGTTCATTGCTGATGGGGGAGCTAACCTAGTTTGCCGCCTCAAACACTCATTGTTTGGGTTAAAGCAATCTCCACTGCTTGGTTTGGAAGGTTCAGTGAAGTTGTACAAAAGTTTGACATGATTCAAAGTAAAGTAGACCATTCTATATTTTACAGACACCAAAAGGGTCTTAATATCTATCTTGTGGTTTACGTAGAACACAGATGCAAAGAGAATGAGAAGCACAATATTTAGGCTCTTTACCGCTCTTTCACCTGTCTGCTTTCTCCTGCAAAATCTGAGGTGCAACCAACTTCTACTCCTCAAAGATCAGTTACAAGGAACACCTCTTTCCCTTTCGTCCACTTGCCATGCCGTAAAGGCCTCACCACATAATAATTTCATAAATCATCTACCAATCGAAAGATCTCGGACCTTTAGTCACACCAAGCTCAACAGGTTGTATGCCAGTACTAGCGGTCACAATTTGCTTTTCTGTAGGCAAGGTTTTGTTCTATTTTAGTTCCCCATATTCTATTGTTCTTGCCAGATTCAGACTCCCATTACCCCGTACACACCAAACATAACCCCCAACTTTCAGTATCCTTTCTTTTTCAGCTTCCAGATCAGGCTTGTAATCTCTTGACAAATCAGGTGCCTGATTCATCCTGGATGGGACACAATGAGACTCGCCTACATTTGCAGCTATAAGGTGTTTGTTTCTAATGATGGTAACACGAGCGGTGCAACCTGAATATGGCCCTTTATAAACAAAGACAACTTCCTCTTTAGGAGAGTTCTCAACAGTTTGATACCTGGCTCTAATACCAATGATAGAGACACGGAAATCTGGCGATAAACTATTGAATATTAAGACTGAATTTGTCAAAAATGAAAAGAAGTGATACAGATGGGGCAAGTTCGATAGTGCCTCTTCTCTCTGAGAGTCCCAATTCCTATTCCCAAACCAAATTTCTGCCTCCCCTTTCCCCCCTACCTGCTCTTAATATTATATTACTCTCCTAAAGGGCCGGCCCTCAGCCCTAAGTTACTGGGCCTAGAACCCTCTTATTGTACAATATTCAAATACTCAATATTATTCTTATTAGGAGGAGCGTCCGGGTCCCTATCAATAATAGGGAACTATACATGTAAAGAGATTTTTCAGCCATTAAAATAGTGCATAATACAGAACTATACATGGAGAGATGTAGTCCTGTAGGCCAGCTGGAGCCAACTGACCGACATACAGAAACAAATAGACAAAAAAAAAGAGAAAAAGGATTCAGATTTGCGACAAAAAACAAAGACCGGACATAGCGACAAACTGTAGACGAAAAGTTCGCTCGGAAATCAGTGAGCGAGAAACTGTAGAACATGACGGAGAGCGGGTAACTGTAGACAACGATGGAGTAAGGATCTATTTCGGCGACCTGTGACAGCTTGAAAGGTTCAAGGACTTGAGCTAATAATTGTAAATTACGTATTTAATTAAATCAGTAGGATAAAATTATGTATACGGTCATAATAAAGAAAAGAATTACGGAGTACTTTTTAATGAGACTATCAGCGTTTATATTAAAACAAAACGTGTAATATAATTATCTGATAAAGTAAAAAAACAGAAAACACTTCTTATAGAACATTGTGAAGAAAATTCTCATCATATCACATTAAAATTGAAAAGATATGAAATGAATATAAAATTGCATAAGAAAAACAATTTAAGAGGCCGTTTGGTAACATTGTTCTTCGGTTTATCGGGCTTATCAGCCAACTTTTTCACCAAACACGTAACTTTTGTTTTCTCACGCTGAATTGTGTAATAATAAAAAAAAGTAAGGTTGAATTTACTTTTGTGGCTGTATTGGCTGAAATTATTGTAAATGACCATTTTAGCTATTTTTACATATACTACCTCCGTCCCGTTGGAAGGTTCCCATAGCAAAACGGCACGGTTATTTAGACAATAACTAAATAAAGTACTTCGAATATATTTTAAGAAATAATTTTAATAGGTATATATTATAATGTAGTTAGTATTGATAACCATGATGTTATAAATGTATTATTTTTAATATTTAATGATTAATTTGTCACTTAAGATTGTTAATTACTCCCTCCGTCCCGAAAAGGTTGGCCAAATTTTCTTTTTTGGATGTCCCAAAAAGATTTGTCATTTCCATTTAAAGTAAGAAATATGTGGCTAAAACTAATTCTCTCTCCTCTGCACAAATTTCAACCACACAATTTTTACTATATTAATCCACGTGAAAGTCAACGTTGGCCAACCTTTTCGGGACGGAGGGCGTATTTCCTAAAATGGAAATGGGACCTTTATATGGGACGTCCAAAAAAGGAAAGTGAGAACCTTCTAATGGGACGGAGGAAATAATTTTTTCTTTATTTTATTAATCAAATATATTTTAAAAATATTTTTTCTTAAATCAAGAGAATCAGTCAATGCAGCCACTTCAGTCAGAACTTCATAAATTTCAGCAAAATCAGCCGAATCAGCCGATTTTCGTGTTACCAAACGGGCTCTAACAAATCAATAAAAAGGCACACAACCACACGTCCACAAACATAAGAAAATAGATAAATCACATACAATGACATCAAAAATCTTAGTCAGAAATATGAATACCTAAATTGAAGAAAAAAATCCACTTTTGGTCCCATGACTATTATACCAGTTCCACATTTAGTCCCTTACTTTCAGATTGTCCACATTTAGTCCGTGACCATTATCCCCTCACCACCCCTCGTCCTTTCGGCCAAAATTCCGGCAAATTTAATGCAGATTTTAGGTATGAAAAACCAAATTTAATGCAAGACTGATATGAAAAACCTAACCTGATACAAAATTTAATGCAATGACTGATTCGGAGGCTGAGAAGTGGATAAAATTTGCTGGAATTTTGGCCGGAAGGACGAGGGGTGGTGAGGGAATAATGGTCATGGACTAAATGTGGACAATCTGAAAGTAAGGGACTAAATGTGGAAGTGGTATAATAGTCATGGAACCAAAAGTGGAATTTTTTCCTAAATTGAACAACAATAAAAAAAATATCCACAATTATGCTTTGACCGATAATTTGGAAATAACATTTAATGATTTAAATAAATTTTGTATTAACATATTTCTCCCAAAATACATGAAAAGTATTAAAGAATTGGGCCTCAAAGGAAAATAGAATCATACTCGCAAGTCACAACATAAATAAATCATAATCATCACAACCTAGTGGCGCAAAGGCTCCCACCTTTGGTGGGGTAAGGGGGGTCGGATGTACGCAGACTTATCCTTGTACTAAAACATAAAGAGATTGTTTCCGAATGACCCGTAGTGAAATCGAGTTGAAAATTGCATGGGCTGACTGCTGCTTCATATTAAAGAAGCACAGACAGTTTAGTGAGCGACTTTGCTTTATTCTATCATATTCCCAAGTCGAAAATAGTGAGCCTTTGGCTCCATTGCAAATGATGGAAAATCACAACATAAATAAATATGTAGCATCAATTATTGTGTAGAAGAATTCCGGTTTTTATGGACCTGGAGAGATTGCATCTCTTGCCCTCCCCAAGGGTCGCCACTAACGATGCCTAATCGACGCCTCAAAACAACTAGGAGACTTCAAGAGAGTCGATAAAGCATGGAGTAGCTACTCTATTGCCAGGAACACCTCAGCGACGCTGTGATCACCATGGCAGCACTGTGCACATAAGTGAACCAAAAAGCACTAAAATGCTTTTATAGAAAATTCTGGAGAAAGTAGAGGGTATTCATCTTCAACAGAAAACTAGGTAAATGAACTGAAACAAGACTATATATAATAAAATGAAAAAATCATACCTCCCAGTTGAAGAGACCAGCAGCAGCTTTTTGCTCCCGCTTCTGGTGCTTCTCATTACTTTGTGGAGTATCATACGTCAACTTTCCCAAGTTATTCAAGAAGCTTGTTGTATCAGACAGGCCTTGAAAATCGCCATGTAGAATTTCAAAGTTCTCAGAGTCTCTAGAATGTCAGTGCCAAAATATCAGCTTCCAGAGCCTTAAGCTGTTAAAATTTATGTGCACTGGCCAAAATAAGGTAGAAAGAAACTTACATGGTTGTTAAAAAAGTACCTTCCTCTGTTACAGGAGGTGATCCAAGACGAAGGCAAAGCTCATTTTCAGCATTAGCATACCAATCTGGTACCAAAAGATCTCTTCCAGGTACTCTTTGCAGTTGATAACCCAGAATTATAGCATCTCGCAGTCTCCTTGGCCCACTTAGCTAAATTGCCAGCAAGATAGAGATGAACTTTCAGAATTCAGTTCAATGGTTTTCTAATGAATCATGTTTCATTCATGCTAACGAGATTTCCTATGATTTCCCCCTGGCTAAAATATGAGCAAAATAGAGATGGACATACACAATTCCTCTTATGACTCTTGTCTCATTTATGAGCCTGGTTGCTCATCTCAGATCTAGGGGAAATGAACAAAAGAGATTAAAAAAAGTGTTTAGGTCTGCTTAATTTGTAATTAATCAGTACCCAGCCTTGTAGAGACATACAAGAATTAATTCTCTCAAAAATTAGTTTATCAAACAAAACTAAGGTCTCTCAGATAACTATTAAAAGAGCTCTAATCATTCTAATCATTATAAGAAACTTAAAGCTAAAAACTAATAAGAAGTTGACTAAAACTGAATTAAGGAAATAACAATAACCATAACACTATGAATAGAAAACTAATACTAATACTAATACTAATAATAGTAATAGTAATAGTAATAGTAATAATATAAATAGGAAGGTTCCTTACATAATACTTCTCTACTTTCCTGTTATGGGGGGTCTATCATGATATTGCGTGTCTCATTATTTCCCCTGAGGACATCAGGCTTGTCCTTAAGCTTGAAAAGGAGTAAATTGATATGAGAATCTTTATGACATTAGTCCATATGAAATTTTCTGAGGCTTGCGCTAAACCAGCGACATTAAATTTAAAGCTTGGGTAGAAATCCAAGAAGAGGGTGCTTTTTGCAAACAAATCATATTCGGAAGCTTTATGTAATACAACACTTCCAAACACCAGGTACCAGCATAGTTTATTGTAATGAGGCTGACGCAACACTTCCAAACACCAGATACCAGGATATTTTATTGTAATGCGGCTGACGTGAATCAGGGGAGGAAGAGAATTCTGTATATTGATTATTTTGAATAATTACATGGTTAAGTATTTATAGAACTTACAATGAGGGAGAATAGGAAATATATTTACGATCTCTAGATATCGAGAAAAGATATATACAATCCCTGAAAATCAGGAGTAAATTAAAACCTGTTTTCTTAAACTATTTCTTGCCTAAAATATCTCTCAACACTCCCCCTAAAGCGGAGGAGTGAATGTCTTCCATTCCCAGCTTGGATACAATCTAATGAAAAATAGAACCATTTAATCCTTTTGTTAACACATCAGCTCATTGACCTCCTGAGGGAACATAGGACATGCAAATGAGTCCTTCCAACTGCTCCTTGATGAAGTGTCTACCAATCTCAATATATTTTGTCCTATCCTGTTGAATAGGATTATGAGCAATGTTGATTGCTGATTTATTATCAAAATAGAGCTTCATAGGTTCCTCCCACTTGACCCTCAAGTCTTTTAGAATAATGTTCAGCCAAAGTAATTCAAACATCACGTGAGCAACAGCCCCTAAATTCAGCTTCTGCAAATGATCTTGCCACAACATTCTGCTTTTTGCTCCTCCAAGTTATCAGGTTCCACCCATAAGCGTACAATAGCCGGTTGTCGGTCTTCTGTCCACGATTGAACCTGCATAGTCCAAATATGTGTATGCTTCTAACTTCAAAAAGAAATTCATTTTGTACAAGATTCCTTTTCCAAGATTGGCCTTTAAGCAGTGCAGTACCTATGTGTTGCTTGTAGATCAGACTCCCTCGGATCATGCATAAACTGACCGACTCCACTCACTGAGTAAGCTATATCCGGCCAAGTGTATGTGTGATATATGAGTCTTCCAACTAGCCTTTCATACATTCCTTTGTCCACTGGTTTCTCCTCTTTTGCTTCGCTTAATTTCTGGTTGGAGTTCATAGGAGTGGCAGCCGGTATACAAGCAGCCTTTCCAATCTCTATTATTAAATCAGACACATACTTCCGTTGAGACACAAAGATGCCTTGGCTAGAGTATGCCACCTCAATCCCCAGAAAGTACTTTAGTTTCCCAAGCTCTTGTATCTCAAACTCTTGAATCAGCCTTCTTTCTAGGTCTCCTTTCTCTTTTTCATCATTGCCAGTTACAATGATATCATCAACACACACACAAGCAAGGCACCCCTGAGGCCGAGTGTTTGAAGAATAACGTGTGGTCTCCTTGACTTTACGAGTTTGCCTAAAACCTGAATCTTTCATTACTTTAGCAAATCGTCCGAACCATGCTCTAGGGGACTATTTTAGCCCATATAGAGCCTTTTTAGGTTTGAAAACCTTATCACTGGGTGTATTCTCTTCAAATCCTGGTGTATTCTCTCGAAGTCTCCATGTAGGAAAGCATTTTTCACATCGTATTGTAGCAATGGCCAATCGTAATGGGCTTCTAATGCTAGTAAAATCCTCATGGTATTCATTTTTCCACCGGAGCGAATGCTTCCTGATAATCCACCCCATAAGTCCGAGTATATCCTTTCGCCACTAATCTTGCTTTGTATCTTTCGAGTGATCCATTGGCCTTGTACTTTAATGCAAAGACCCATTTGCAATCAACTATGTTTTTCCCTCTTGGCCTCTCCACTATCTCCCATGTTCAATTTTTTTCCAGTGCTTCTAATCCCTCTCTCATAGCATTCCTCAACTCGTGTGATCTTCATTAGCAAATCTTCCAAAACATGCTCTAGGGGACCATTTTAGCCCATATAGAGACTTTTTAAGTTTGCAAACCTTATCACTTGTTAGGAATAGTATATGAATGCTACTCGTGTATTACTTTGTAATTAGAATCTGTTAGGCTCCTGTTATGTTAGTTGTAGTTAGTTATGACTACAGCTTCTATAAATACTCTGTAACTTTCTATTCTCAATAAGAATATCATTTTCCGTCTTCTTCCCTGCTCCTTTTCTAATATCACTGGTTTTATTCTCTTCAAATCCTGGTGGGATCTTCATATAAATTTCCCCATCCAAGTCTTCATCTAGGAAAGCATTTTTCACATCGTATTGTAGCAATGGCCAATCGTAATGGGCTGCTAATGGCAGTAAAATCCTCACGGTATTCAGTTTTTCCACCGGAGCGAATGTTTCCTTATAATCCACCGCATAAGTCTGAGTATATCCTTTCACCACTAATCTTGTTTTATATCTTTCGAGTGATCCATTGGCCTTCTACTTTAATGCAAAGACCCATTTGCAATCAACTATGTCTTTCCGTCTTGGCCTCTCCACCATCTCCGATTTTCAGTTTTTTCCCAGTGCCTCTAAACCCCTTACGACGGGGGAGACTTCTTCGCCTGCGATGATGAAGAAAAAAGGAGTGATGAGGAATTTAACCAGATGAGTGAGATGATTGCTCGGTATCAGCGTGAGCAGGCTAGGCGGGAGAGAACGCATCTGGCTGGATGTACTTCTCAAGACAGGTCAGGGCAGGGGAGCCGTGAAGCTTCTCGTGCTCCACTTGTGACGCCTAGGAGTAGGCAAGGAGAAGACTCTTTTGTGAAAATTCCAGAGGTGTGCAAGCCACAATAGGTCACTGATTTACCTGTGGGAACCAATGAATTAACCCCAGATGATTTTTCAAGAGAGCTCAATAGACTTCAAAACTTTTCAATCTCATCCTCTTTGAACCTTGCCTTATATCCTTTGTTGTCCGATTTCTCTTCAGCCTTCCGTTGTTCCGTGAGATAAGTTTGAGGTTTTTGATGTCTTCTACGTGTTCACTCGTTGGTCGTTGCTGGAAGGTTTTCCGTTCAGCTTCCAAAAAAAATCTCTGGTATGTATCGGCTTATTGCAGTAAGTGCACCCATACTTGTCATGGCGATAAGTCGAGTCGCAGCGCCAGCCGACCGTCATATCGCCTAGGCGATAAGGCGCCCCTGCCTAGACGACAATTAGGCGACTAGTCGCCTATATATGTATAATATTATATATATAATTATACTACTGTAGTTTTTATTATTAGGTTATTACTATTTTATAAGTCGTAACAAAATAAATTAATAATATAATGAACTAATGACTCCTTTAAAAAACAATGACTCAACAACTCAGCAACTTCACATGAGACCACATGTCTATGTGTATAATATATATATATATATATATATATATATATATATATATATATATTGTAGAAAAATGTAACATGTATTTGTTATTTTAATTTTATGTACATCCGGAACTGTATAGATAAGACTTAGAGTAGATAGAGCTCTTAGAATAGATCCTATTATTTAGGATCTGAAACAACTAGGCTTTATCTGTAACATGTATATATATCATTGCCGGATGGCTCAATAATATTAAGGAAGATTAATTCCTAAAACCTACATGGTATCAGAGCTTCGGTTTAAACAACACGATGGTAGAAACCAGTGATGCTGATTCCTCACACACTATCAACCCTAACTCCCAAATTAGCCCTATGACAAATTACCAGTCTCCTATTCATTCATCTATGATAATCACTGGTCATAGATTGAATGGAACAAACTATCTGGAATGGTCTCAATCTGTCAGACTCGCAATTGATGGGAGGGGAAAACTAGGTTACATCACAGGAGAAATCAAACCAAAATTACCTGAAGAAGAAGGTTACAGTACATGGAGGTCAAAGAATTCACTCATAACAGCTTGGCTTCTCAACTCCATGGAGAGCCCTTAATTGCCAAACCTCATATGTTTATGAATACTGCAAAGGAGGTATGGGACTCTCTATTAAGGAAACTTATTCAGATCTTGAGAACTCTTCTCAAATTTTTGAACTCAAAACCAAGTTGTGGCAATCTAAACAAGGAAATAGGGATATCATTTCATACTACAATGAAATGGTATCTGTGTGGCAAGAATTAGATCAATGTTATGGTGATGAAGAGTGGGAGATTACTAAGGATTTGGCCAGACATAAGAAAAGAGAAGAGAATGATAGGGTCTATATGTTTCTAGCAGGGATCAATAAGGACCTAGACGAAGTAAAAGGCATCGTACTGGGAAAGAAACCTCTGGCCCCAATCAGAGAGGTCTTTTCTGAGATCAGGTTGGAAGATAGCAGGAG